GTATTTGCTATATCTGCCTTTTTTTAAATGCTTATAAATGTATTGTGCAATTTATTTTGATTTTTCAGGAGGGAAAGAGATCATACTGGAAGTCTCAAAAACTCAAAAACCCTGTATCTATCGAATATTATGGAGTTAAGGGGTTAAATCCAAACAGAGAACTGCTACAACAACAATAACAAGGCCTTCCCAGTAGCCCACCTCTCTGGCCACATCAAATCCCTCTGTCTCTCCCTGGATTGCTGCTTGCCAATCCAATGCCCCTAAAAATCATCTACTCTGGAAAATAACTAGGAAGACTTCAGAAACACACTTGTGTGCTTAAATCTTGACATCCTAAGCTTCATTTACTTCCTTTCTCTTCTTCTGCAGACCTCCTTGCTTCCAACCAGTTGAGATTATTCATCCTAAACCATTAACCAATCTTTGATCGTCAGTGGTTTTAGTCCTCTCAGTCCGCTGCTGCTGCTGCACATCCTCAGTAACATCTCTTAATTAAATCAAAACCAGAAATCCACAGCATCTTGACCAGTGTTAGCTTCCAGTCTTTTCTTCTGCAGACCTCTCTCCTCTGCACTGGTTGGCATTATTCCATCTAAAGTTGGCTAATAACATCATTATAATTAAATGTCATGTTTATTCCCTTAACTTTCTTTATTAATCGGGTTGTTTGAGTGCTGCTCATTTTAAAACATTTTGTCAAAGGCATCTTCGTGTATCTATACTTGAGAAACATTGTCATTTATTTTAACTAATTAAATTGTTTTCAAGGAAATCGTAAATGTTTAGCATATAGAAATAGAAGATATGGTACACTCAGTACTGTAATTCTGCTGAGAACATACACATGACACAGAAACTGCTCTAACTTGAAAATGCCACCGACTCCACTCAGACCACGTGCTGGTAGAGTTGTGGCTCAGCGATGAACAACACAGCAAGCTGATGAGAGACAGCATTTGTATAACAGCAGACTAACATGGCTGAGTTTGCAGAACACCAGTTTTATTAACATATTCTGGGTCGCATACTTTCACTGTAATGAAAATGATGAGATGAAAAAACTCAGATGAGTTGTGTTGAGTTTTCACTTCTACAGCATAAACGTCAGTCCAGCCCAAATAAATGGGTAGGACTGCATCAGGATACTGGTCCATACTGGTCTGTCGAGGTCTGGGATAAGAATGACAATGCTGTTGGATAAAAGGGTGCCAGTGGAAACTGTGCTACTGTTGGCTAAGAACAAAGGAACGGGGAAGCCATATTTGCATGTTTAGAATCAGCGAGAGAAAAGGAAAGGTGGGAGTTTGAAGGTAATAATAGGGGCTTCACATCTAGGGACTATGACCGGTAAAGGGAAGAGCTGGCTGATATATTGGAGAGAACAACAAGAGACATATTGTGTGTGCTGGAGATTGGGTGGGATGCCAGGAGCACTGGAGATGGATTCAAACTATTATAGGAACCAAAACTGAGTATGAGTAATGTTGAAGCAAGAGCATGTGGAGAGTGTTGTGGAGGAGAAGAGAATGTCAGAAAGGATCATGAGTTTGAAGCTGGGAATCAAAGGGGTAATGTTGAATACCGTCAGCCCACAAGTTGAATGTCAAAAGAGAGAGAGGAATTCTGGAGTATGTTGAATGAAGTGGTAGAGCATGTTCTCAAGGGGAAAAGATCGGTGATTGGAGTAGATTTTAATGGACATTTGGGTGAAGGGAACAGAGGTGATGAATCTGTTGGGTAACTATTGTGTTAAGGGGGGCAATGCAGAAAGACAAACGGTAATGGATTGTGCCAAAAGGATGGAAATGGCTTTGATGAACACGTACTGCAGGATAGAGAAAAAACACTGGATGCTATTCAAGGTATTAAAGGGAAAGTGAGGATGAACCAACAATGTGGAATTTGAAGAAGGAAGAACGTTGTGCAGAGTTCAAGGAGTTGAAAAAGGCTCTGGGTAGTAGGGAAGAGAGACTGGTACAGCTGAACTGGTGAGGGAAACTGCCAAAAGGTGTTGGGTGTATCCTCTGGAAAGAGAAGTACAGTAAAGTATTCAAAGGAGGACGTTAGCAATGAAAAGGTGGGGGCGTCAAAGAAAAGGGCTTATAATGAGTTGTTTGTAAGGCCAAACACTAAGGAAAATAAAAATCATCGATTAGGCAGAGAGATTGAGGTGGAAAGGATGTGCAGGTGGTCAGGGTGGTTAATGACAGACATGGATGTATACTAATGAGTAAAAAGAGTGTGTTAAAGATGGAAGGAGCACTTTGAGGAGCCGATGAATGTAGAAAATGAGAGCAGAGAACAGATGGAGGACAGCTAGTGAATCAGGAAGTGCAGAAGATTAGCAAGAAGAAGAGAGAGGGCAGTGGACTGCTTAACCATACTGTTTAAAACATCCTGGAGGGTGACAAGATGCCCGAGGAATGTACTGACACCGATGTTAAAGAACAGCAGTGATATGGAGAGCTGTAGAAATTGATACCATGATGCTATGGGGAGAGTTGTTGGAGCTAGGCTAAGAAGACAGGTGATTATCAGTGAGAAGCGTATGGGTTAATGCTGAAAAAGAGCATTAGAGATGCAATATTTGCTTTGAAAATGCTGATGGAGAAGAACAGAAGAACAGGGAAAGTCAGAAGGACTTCACTGTGTCGTTGTGGATCTATAGAAAGCAGTGCAAAGACAGGAACTGTGACACTGCATGAGAAAGTCAGGAATAGGTGAGAAAGAGGACTGCAAAATAATGATGAGGTATGCAGTAGAAAGAACAGATGGGTTTAAGGTGGGGGTCAGGGATCAGCTCTGGGGCCCTTCATGTTTGTCATGGTGATGGACAGGTTGACAGATGAAGTTAGCAGGAGTCTACATGTACTATGATGTTGATTGTGATCTGTAGTGAGAGTAGGGAGCAGATGGAAGAGTCCTTGGAAAGGTAGAAGTATGCTCTGGAGAGAAGAGGAAGGAGAGCAGCAAGATCCGGATATATGAATGCAGGCAGGTGAAGTGTGTGGAGACCCAGTGGTCTTCAGGGTGACTTCAGTCAGTGGTTTTACTAAGGTCCGCCTTAACAAGCTGCACATATAACACGTATTCCCCAGGAGAGAATCTACTTAAAACATGCTGTGAGTAAAAGACTGAATGCATGGCACTTCCAGCCTGTTAAAGTGAAACTCTGAGCAGAAGTTTTAGTTTTGTTCTCTCACCTGCAGACTATGCTTTTTGTTTGAGGATTTGAGAGTAGAGATTAAGCATCAAACTTAGACTTACTCTATGTATCAATGTGAGGTCAACAAGTGCTCAGTAGGTGTCCAGTTTTAGGGTCAGATATTACCACTTATAGAATAAAATGAATTGTTTGCTGCCAACATTTTTTAAAAAAAGCAAAAGCAATAAAATCTATATTATTTATTACTGGCGCTCAATAGGAGAACAAAGACATTTGACACCATTAAAACACTTTAAGCCCTCCTAGGTCTGAGGTCCACCATCCACAGATTAATGTTTTAAGTCAGGCTTGAAAAACTGAAAACTTTTTAACTTGTTGACCTTAAAATAGAAAATATAGTAACAGAAAGCAATGGTTCCCTCATTTCTCACTAGTGGTGTGAAACATCTTCAGATGACTGTCTTTGTTTAGCACACAGTTTCTTTTCTTCTGGCCTGCTTTCCCAATGAATATTTCATTATTTGATTTTTGTACTCTTTTAGTTCAGGAAATCCATAATCTGCTCATAATACTGCTCCACAGTATCTCTCTGAACTTCTGCGCATGACCCATTCATACTGTCCGACATCTTTAACAGTGACTCTCTCTCCACTTTCAAATTCCAAGTCTCTTTAAACTCATTACAGATTTACAGGTGGAAGATGATTTTGTTTTTTTCTTTCTGGATTTTAATACTTCTGTGTAAGGTGACTGTTTTGAAAGGTACCTAAAATAATATTTATCACTTTTATATTTAACTGGCACTCACTTGATATTTTCTCTATTTCAGAGCATCCTTTGGTATGGGAAATTGTGCACCCCTGCCAGCTCACTACTATGTGAAACGGTTATCTCAAAAGCTGCAGAAATTATTATCTAAAAGAGAAAGTGAGTGCGGACTGTCCCATCATTTGAAAGTTTTAACATAAACATTACATATCCCAAGTTTTTTTTTCTTTTTGTTTTGTTTTTACATAAATTAACCTCCATTACCATGACCCACATATTGATCAGAAACAGACTAAATTGATGAATGAATGACACAAAATCAATCAGGGTTTTATTTCTAGTCCTGGCAGAGATTTCCACGCTGACACTGTTGGTTGAAACTACGAAATGTTTCGACCTACAGGAGCAGGAGTCTTGTGTCAATGAACAAAAGATGAACCATTATTTAGGTAACACAGACAGTCCAAAAGGGCTGAAAACAGATGGAAACAAAATCAAGCCTACTCACTACTCAGGAAGCAAACAGTGCAAACAGAAAACAGTATGACGCAACAGAACCCTAAGACAAATTTAGGGCTTACATACACACATTAGGGAAATGGATTCAGGAGGATGAGGAGAGATAGCTGAAACAAATCCATGATGATGAGACAAGGAAAGTAAACGAAATACTACATACAAAGGAAAAAGACTATTACAATAAAACAAGGACACTAATACAGATTTGACACAGAAGACAGCACTAAGAAAAATAACGAAACCTTATACAAAATATTAAAAAGTATAATATTAACTGAAACTCATTCAATAACACCAATAACTCAGACTAAAGAGAACGATCAAGAATACACAAGCTAGCTCAGAACCCAATGAAGCATTAAATGATAATGAATGGTGACTCACTTACATTATCTTTCTTCCTTATTCTTCCTGACACTCAGTTTAAAAGTCACAAGACTGTCTTGACCATGTCTACATGTATAAATGCAATGACTTGCTGTCATGTAATTGGCAGATTAGATATGTGTTGAGAAGCTATTGAACATGTATACCTACTGAAGTGGCTGGTAAGTCTAAGTGCAATATATGGAGTCTAAATCAGCATTTCATGGGCTTTTCATTCAAAGGCAGACATATTCACAATCAGACATGTTCCCTTAAAGGACTGAGAACTGACAAGATATGCTTTTAATAACAGCTAGATTTGGGGGTCTTCCTGTCTGTACCATGGCCTTAAAAACTTATTTTACTTAATTTACACATAAGCAAAGTAAAAATGCATTCAAATTGCAGACAGACAGAAATGGTGGTTTCAGGCAGTACAGCAAAGTAGATTACAGAAAGAATAGAAAGTGTTTTAGTAATGAACAAGGGCTTGGAGCACAGTATAACAATCAATGTTACAGACCAAAAGGATGACAGAGATGACAACATTTGAGGTTGCTTCTGGTGGTTTACGTGCATACTGACTGTAATAATAAGAAAACAAATTAATTGAGGCTGGGGAGGAAGGTACTCACGAATCGTTAAATCCATCACTTGAGAGGCCAAGCAGAAGACAGGATGCTCAAACATCTCTCTCTTTTTCCCTATAGAGAAAGAGGCAGGATACCGAGGCATGCGAAAGGCCAGGGTCAGAGCAAACGAACATAATGGTCACTAGGGTTTGACTAATATAAAGTTTTTTGCTACCACTACCTCACATTTTCTTGCAAGAAAATCAGAACTTTAACCACACATTGTATTAAAAGGTACAATATGTATCATTGTGAAATTTGTACATGGAACTATGTTTAGCAGATTTAAAAGATTAAGGGACATCCCCTAGTTTTGTTTGTCAAATTGATTTAAATTTTTTGTGTGCTTACATGAAATGAAGAAAAAATAAATGGGTAGCAAGGTGGTGCAGTGGATAGAACATGTCCGTTGTAACTGTACTATCTGTGCATGTATGCAAGTTTCCTCCCACAGCTCTTGTTAGGTTAACTGGCAGTTCTAAATGGACTGAAGGTGTGCATGGCTGCTTGTCTTTCTGTATTATGACTGCAATGAACTGGGGATCTTCAAACCCTTGAGTGATCTCCTTCATGACCCAGGGCTACCGCCCGCAGATTTGCCGCAGACCCCCCATAACGAACACCCCGACCTTCCCCTCAGTAGGCAACCTCCAGCAGGCCTGTGTGCTGCAGGAAGAACTGCCAGCCCTCATGACAAAGGCTATCATACGGGAGGTGGAAGCTGCCCATGGGGGTTTTTCTACCACTACTTTCTACTCCCCAAAGAGCATGGGGGTCTCCATTCAATTCTGGACGTCAAAGACCTCAGTTGCTATCTCTGGCCCCTGAGGTGCAAGATGCTGAAGGTCCCCAGTGTATGTCAGGCCATCAATGCAGGGAATTGGTTTGCCACCATCAATCTGAAGGACGCTTACTTTCAGGTCTTAATCTGGCAGGGGCGGTGGCACTTCCTCAGATTCTGCTCCAATGGGCAGGTCTTCGAGTTTGGAGACTTCCCCTTTGGCATCTCTGTGGCCCCCCAGACCTTCCTGAGATGCAGGATGCGGCCTTCACTCCTATGAGCCTGCGGGGCCTCAGAATCTTGAATTACCTGGATGACTGGCTGGTCTGTGCCTCTTCAGTAGAACAGTGTTGCAGCTACGTTGCCCTGCAGGTCTCTCATGTTGAGGCTCTGGGGCTGTAGTATCCCTCAATATCCCTCATGGCACAACGGCGATGGGTCTTTTGTGCATGCCCAGACCAGTTCGGCCTCCACTCTCTACTGAGCCGGGGGCTGTGCCTCTCCCTCATGGGTCTGATGGCTGCCACTGTGCACATCAATGTGCTGGATCCGTCTTCCTGGCACTTCGGGATTTTCCTGCCTCGACTGCAGTGGTTTCACGTGATTGTTGGGAAGGACAGCAGGGGAGTGGAGGCTCCACCCGCAGGTGGTTGAAACAAATCTAGCACTGTTTCAGAAGGGCAGAGGGGGACCTCTTTGCCTCCAGGGAGTCAACACACTGACCCCTGTTCTTCGACAGCCCTTTCCGGGGGTGGGATGCCCTGGCGCATCCCTGGAACCAGGTTTTTTGTATACCTTCCCTCCTTTCTCTCTCCTCCACTTGGTCCTCTCCGGGTCCAGACTGCAGAAACGAGGCTTGTCCTGGTGGCCCCTTTCTGGCCCAACATGCCCTGATTCTCAGTGATCCAGCCTCTCCTCGACTAAAGACTCTGGGAGCTTCCGGTCCAGAGGAACCTCCTGTCCCAGGCGAGTGGATCACTTTCAAGCAGGTCCACCCCTTACGCTGTGACCCTGCATTGAATGGTGGTAGCGATTAAGGCCATTCACCTCTGTCGCTAAGCGCTTAGCGAGGCTGAGCGCTGGCTCTATCCGTCAGGTATCCCCAGCTGATTTGGACAATAGACCAGCTGTTCATTGCCTTCCATCCTGGGCAGGCACCTGTCAAAGTCCTGGTTGTCCTACTGGGTGGCAGCCTTATGCCTCTAGGTTCCCCTCCCCTTGGGAGTGCAGGCCAACTCGACACATGGGGGTGGCCACCTCTTGGGCCTTGTGGTCATCGGCTACCAGCTTTAATGTTGCAGCCAGCCCCTCTATCATGGAGCAGGTGCTAGATGTCCCTCAGCTGTAACCTTTGTCTCCTTGATCAGCTTGCGGGCCAACCATGAGCGGCTGCGCAGATGCGGTCCTTGCATCTTGACTTGCTCAGGCAGACTGTCGTCCCCCCCCCCAGGCCTTTGCATCTGGTGGGGCCTTGACTGTCTCCTTGTGGGGTGAGTTACCCCGTACATATGGAAATTGTAAGTACTTGTAAGTAACTGTAAGTCTCAATATGGTAACATACAGTTGACATGATGTCTGCTTCTTGGAGTGAGAGACTGTCTCCAGCTTCAGGCTGCTTGGAGATGTGTTCCAATCAAACCATCACTGGTTTCACATCTGCGCAGCTGTTTTATATCTAAGCTGTGGGGCATGACTGAGGTAGCCAGAGTTTCTTATGGAAGTATTCACACCCCATAGCGAAGGGGGGTCATACCCTGTACATGTGGAATATGTAACATAACATGGAGAGATAGTCTCTCACTCAGAGAACCAAGGTTACAGTATGTAACCATACAGTTCCACTGCAACCCTATATTGGAAAAGCAGTTAAAAACATGGATGGATGGATAGATACCAATTGACTCTAATTCTACAGAAAGTACTTAATAAATTAAAATGCTATACAAAGCATCTTTGGATGTTTTTCTTACAAATTGGTCATTGCGACGAATCCTCACATATAATCAAATGTTTAATGTTTAAATGAGCAAATTGGCATTATGTGTGTAAATGTATTAGGTGGACATAAGCAGTGTGGACTGTATCCACATTGTCAATCAGCTAGGCTGGTAGCTTATGTTTCCATCACTGGTGACCCAAATAACTCCACCTGATCTTATCTCAATGTATTTTAAATATACTGCTCAAAAAGATTAAAGAAACATCTTTTAATTAAAGTATAGCACCAAGTCAGTTAAACTCCTGGGATATTTTGTCATGCTCCTGTGTGAGGCAGGCAGGCAGATCCAAAATGTAGACTCACAGGCAAGACTATACTTGAAACAGTTTACTTAATTTAAGGTTAAACAACTAAACTGGGAATGCTAAGTGGGAGAAACTAAACAAACAGAATAATACAGGGAAACACAGTACCGACAGGACACACAGCAAGATGGGATATCACAAAACTGGACAGAAGGAGACACAGACAATATATACACAAAAGAGGGAATCAGGGAGGAGAGGAAACGCCTGGGGAACATGGCTGGACATAATCTAACTGTCGAGAAAAGGGAAGTAAAACTGAACATGATGCACACAGGACAAGAGACTATCAACATAAAACACAAGAAACACAAACTGAGATGCAGACTGGCTAAATATGGGGAAGAGAGGGAGACAAGACAAGACTAGGAAGACACAGAACAAGGGTGACGGAGCGAAAGGAGTAATAATGAGTCAACTGCAAAACAGGAAAGGTTTTACCTTTTGTTGGTAACATCTTTTTCCCTTTTCAGACTGTTTTTTGCTAGTTTTATATATGGCTAGGGTCAGTTTCACTACTGGTAGCATAAGGCAATACCCGGACCCTACAGAGGTAGTAGGATTTAGGTAGCTCAACTCCTCCAGGACGGCACATCAATACATACCATTTCCAGAAGGTTTACTGGGTCTCCCAGCACAGTCTCAAGAATGTGAAGTTGTACAATATCTTCAAGCCATCACCAGGACGGGTATCTGCTCTTTTGTGCAAGGAGGAATAGGATAAGTACTGGCAGTGCAGTACAAAATGACCTCCAACAGGACACTGATGTGAACGTCTCTGACCACATAATCAGAAACAGACTTCATGAGCCCAATAGCCTCTAGAGGTACCAGTGGTCACTGCTAGGCAACGGCACCTGATTAGATATTGGGTTTAAATCCTTGGAACCATTGTCAGACCCTATGCTGCTGCACTGAGTCCTAGGTTGCTCCTGGTGCATGACATGCACATGTATCATATGGCAAGAGCATGCATGCATGCAGCGCCTGGAGGATTAAGGAACTGAAAACATAGACTGGCCCCCAAGCTTGCCAGACCTAAATCCAATAGAGGACCCTTAGCACACTATATTTCAGTCCATCCAGTACCACCAGGCTGCATCTCAGACTGTCCAGGAGCACAATCTGTTGAGTCATTAGGAGTATGCCTTCTCATTAGGAGCAAGTACATTCAAACAACTCGCTTTGAGTTGCTACAATGACATTTCAGCAACATGGACTAGTCTGCCGCATTACTTTTTTTGGTTGATTTTTGAGTGTCTTTGAAATTAGCCTTTTGTAGGTTGATAATTTGCATTTTCATATCCAGCATTATGTAATTTCTCCACTGAAACCTAATTTGTTTTCAAAGAATTTTTAATTTTTTTGAGCAGCATTCTATTGTATCATTGGGCATTTTCACACCTGTAGTTCATTTACTCTGGTCTGAATCAGCTGATGCGGTTCTAGTCAGTTTTATCTTTTCCCCATGTTTGGGTTTGTTTTTACTCAGAGAAAAATCCAAGTGAATCAAAATGCGTCGCTACAAACCACGTGAGAAGATTCAGTCTGCTTATTCGCCAGATCTGTCTGGAGTGGAAGCAACAAAAGTAAATACAGGAAAAAGGTCTTGTATTCTATTTGAACAAGAATTTACATTCATTTCACAGCTAGCTGCTAGCCCAGACAGACCTTTGCACATCTAAAACACTTTGTGTCATAGAGTGCGTGGAGTTGCAAACCCAAAATGCTAACACTATAAACAGTACAACGCGACAAAGAGCTATGGAAACTGAGGGCTTGAACACACACATGAGGTAATCAGGGAGATGGAACACACCAGGGAACACATCTGAACTAAATCAAGGAAATGAGACAGAGGGGAGCAAAACTGAAAACAATGCATTTAGGACAAAGACTAACAATATAAAACATGAAATAAACACTGACTAAGACTACGACACATAAACTGGACATAAACAAAAAGTAAACAAGATAAGGATCATGGAAACTGTTACTGTCGCTGACCTCTAGTGGCTGAGGGCCCCCCACCCCAGACAACACTTCATTTTTAAGTGGGGCATAACAGAAACCTTGCCACATCCTAGAATACAAAGCATATGTACAGCTTTTTTTTTTTTTTTCACTTCAAACTGATTACAACTAGTTGCTATACGTTGTAAACCAACTCCTCTGGTGTTCATTTGGAACCATGCCAAGACCACCTCCTCCAGAGTGCGGTTGTTTTGGTCCAAGTGCAATTACTGTGTTCATATCTGCCCAAACGAGTCACACCAAAGACAAACCAGAGTTAATTTGAATGAATTACACACCGCATGTGTGAAAACACCCTTAAATTCAAAGCAGTTAATTACTTGTCTTATGTGTATCACATGAATGTAATCAAACATGTCAGTTTGAGTCTGGTAGAGTTGATTGTCATGTATGAAAAAGTTCCAGAGAATAATGACATCTGTTCCTAAAACAGAGAAAATATTGGTGCTGTATATGTAAAGTCTATTTCAGAAGACAAAAAAATAGCTCAGCTCTGTTATATTGAACATTAATAATCTTAATGTCAAAGGTTTAAGGTCACACATATAGTAAGTTCAAATGTACATATTCACATGTCAAATCTGAAGAATTATCACACATTAAAAGAGGTTAGTGTTCTGACACAGTTAATAAGTCATTGCTTTAGGGGCCTACAGAATGCTTGTGGCTATTAAAGAAAACCTAGACGAGGCAAGAAACAAAAGTAAAATAAAATCCTGGCACAAAAGATAGTCTCATTGTGTCTTACTCGCCCACCTGCTTTAAAACAGAGGTTAAAAGCAGAAAAGGCCAATAGACAAGGAAAACAGAAGAATTAGTGTGGAAGTCACCAGAACACAAGGAAAACCCAGAACAGGAAACAAGGAGAATCTTCTCAGTTACCAGGCAAGTTAAAGGTAAACCAAAGCAGTGTAAGACTCGGCTGAACGAGAAGCTAAAGCAGTGGAAGAAGTCAGCAAGATTGAATTGAATGCATTTTTACTGTAATTATCCTAGTAAACAAATGATGAAGAAAAACTAAATAGTTGCTGTCATTTAAAGTACTACCATACAGTTTTGCTTGGTTTTATCCATCTGGATACTAGACATTATTTGAAATGTTGTTCTAGCATTTCAAATATTGTCTGCAAAATCTATAGAGAAACAGACCCCTGACTTCATCGGTTTACTGCTGCTTCAGTTTATTAATGTTTGATTGGTCAAATTTGGTGAAAATATTTATTACTTTTGCATTTCAATTTTCTGTGTTTTACAAGCTTATTAAACATCCTCATATACTGTCACAATAATTTTAAATAACCTCCCCACTAAGATTAGAAAATCCCCTCTGCACTTCAGATCTTTCCCATCTGGTTCTGCATAGCATATTAATTGGCATTTGTTTTTGTTAAGGTATGCAATGTCTATAACTGTAATGTGTTCTTCATTTGGATATATTTATCTGACAGTTCCCATAAGATGGAAATGGAATTTCCAAAAAACAATAAACGTCATAACAGCTATTACTACGACTACTACTGTTGCAGCTACCACTAGTACTATAGCAAGATTGCGTTCACACAAAGGAGGAGTAATAACGTACCTTCCAGTTTTGCATACTCTGACAGACGCTGGTAATTGACCTGAGCTGCCTGCTCCAAACACTTACGGATCACACCTTTGACTTCCTCTTGTGGGACTGGGGTGACAATGTCTTTCATTAAAACCTTATACAAAAAACACAGCAAAATTATTGTTATTTATTTATTTTTGCAGTACCTTTTAATAAAAGATGTAAATAAATATTGTAAAAATATGTCCTCAGGCTTAAATGAAAAAATTACTCTATAGCCTCCATATGTCCCATTAAATCTTTAGATTTTGTTGTCCTCATGTTAAGAGTTTTATTACTTTTAATTATTGTTAAAAAAGTAACAAGTTGTTATTTTGTTTGGTTTCGGCATGGAAATATTATCATTAGTTTCAAGAAAAGATGACAGTTTGAGCTAAAGTTTAAAGGTAGCAGAATTAAACAGGTTTCAGTTTGCTCTGCATTGTTTGTTATAAAAATCAACTAACTCTTTCCCTCCAGTAAATAAAAAGAAACCTGACAAACCTACAAGTAGTAGCAAAATCAACAATGATAAAAAAGAAATAGCAGCGTAGTATTGTATGACTGGACATATAGTCCTTCCCAAAGAGCCACCAAAAACAGGTCGGATCAATCTTATGTTTTATCCTGTGCTACGACAGTCTTACCCTTTCGAGCAGGGACAGAGTTGCCTTCAATGCCCCTTCAGGTCTTCCAAATGGAAAACAGTACCTGTTTAGAAAAGAGGTTTGTTTGGTTTTTTTCAAACTTCAACAGTCCAAATGGGCAATGTGTCATTGTGTAGTTGGTGCAATGGGTCCTACCGGAAGTGTGTAATCTGGTTTTCAAGAAGCACCCGTAGCCTCTCCTTGATTTCCTCAAAGCGCTCTTTCTCCTCAACAGTGACTGTGCCGATACCGTCGGGCCTGAAACACAGAGGCATTTACAAAAATGCACTCAAAGTTTCTGTTGAACCTTTCAGCACAAATGTCAAAATACCCAATTTTCCACAGATAATGTTAGCATTTGCTTATACCTCAGATTTCGATCTAATGTATAATTCATATTTTTAAAAAACTTTTTTAATAAAGGAAATGGCAATATTACTTACTTTTATTGATTGAAATGTAAAATGCATATCTTCTGCTATTTATTAAAACTGTGGTGTTGAAACTGGAATTAATCAGTAAATTAAAATTAAAATTTTCTTATCAGGGTCACTCCATATAAAACCAACATCCATCCATTCGCTTCCTCTCATCTTTTTCAGGGTCGCAGGGGGTGCTGGAGCCTATCCCAGCTTGTCATAGGGCAAGAGGCAGGGTACACGCAGAGACAGACAACCATTCGCACTGACATTCACTCACAGATTCACACTTATGGGCAATTTAGATTTGGACTGTGGGAGGAAGCCGGAGTACCCAGGGAAAACATGCAAACTCCACACAGAAAGACCCCGGCCTGATGGTGGAATTGAACTCAGGACCCTCTTGCTGTGCGGCAACAGTGCTAACCACCGTGCCACCGTGCTGGTGGCACCAACATAATCTGAAAAAGGTTTCAGTTTGGCCCCTGGAGAATGAGTTACAGGCTCTCACAGCACATGGGGTGGGCCAACATTTCTTTGTAGAGCCTCCATAATGTCTTACATATAGGAGCTTGCCACATCACCCAACAGCAAACCAGGATCAAGTAGTTGTGCCTATAACTGAAGGAGGCATCGTAAGTGGAGGCATGCACGCTGAGATGGTTTAATTATATTTCAGATGATTTAAATATGCAAAATTCAACATGCAGATTCACATAAACAAAACATTTGTTTTTGTGGTAACATTTTATTAGTCGGCAAAGCACTTGGTGAATCCATGACCACATTATTCACCTATTATGTTATTAACTAACAGTTTTTCCTCAATAACCTCAAATTACTGGTTAAGATAAGATAAGATAAGATAACCTTTATTAGTCCCAAGCATGGGAAATCTGTTGGGTTAAGGCTGCTGACCTTTGCCAGCGCCATCTTACCCTTCCGACCATACATACATACATTACAACATCACATGGGGAAGACAGGTCAGAGAGGTATAACAATGGAAAATGCACAACATGAGGAAAGACGAGGAGAAAAAATAACTCCCCCCAGACTGAGCTCCAACAGGGAGATCAGTTTGAGAACAGAAAAAAACACCTCAGCACATGAATCAGCACATAAATCAGCACATAAATCAGCACATGAATCAGCACATGAATCAGCACATAAATCAGCACATAAATCAGCACATGAATCAGCACATGTTACTACATAGAAGACATAAGCTTCGAAGGCATTTGGAGGGGGTGGCGGGTGAGTGTAGGTCTGTGTCAGTGTACATGCATATGTGTGCGTGTGAGTGTGTTATTGATAGAAAGTAAAGTCATTATACATGAATTATAGTTTCAGTTTTCTTTCTGCTTCTGCTTTCCTTGACATTTTCTTGCGATTTCGGTAAAGAAAAGAGGTAAATTTTTAAGTGTTGTGATTATCTGTCTCTCTTCTATTGTTAATTGCCTTTTTTCTCACCATTTTGTAGCAACACACTACTTTCTGCAGTGCAATACTGTTCAACTGATGCTCACTAAGGTATCACAGTGTGTTCCAACACTGCATTTATGCAGACAGGGGGTTGTAAGTAATCCAGAAAAATTGAAACACCCATAGGCATTAGTAACAGCAGCTTTCAAGGCTTGATCAACCTGCAGAACAGCTTTAAATTATTAACCTATTTTGTGTTCACCGAAAAAGCCCTTTTCTTATAATTATGAAATGTTCATTATTTTTAAATTTTGGGTAACCTTACCTTTTTTTTAACCTCTGGCAGTTCAACACTTACCTTTGTACCATTTCAAGCTATTCTTTGGACTTGAATGACTTGAATTGCAATAAATGACTGGGCGGTAGTGTAGTTGCACCACTAGTGAATAAATTTACTTTTTAATTTGAAGAGAGGCTACACCTGAGTCCTGCTTCTGCCTAGCAGCACGTTGACTGATTCTGTTTGATTATGGAATTGCCCTAAATGAGCAAGCAGGGGTGGGTATACTTGTATCCTCCCAGTTTGCTGCCTGTATGTTGACGTTTTCACCAGTGGATGAGGGGTTGCTTGCCTGCACCTTAAGGGGAATGGGTCCTGACTGTCATCTGTACCCGTGTGTCAGCCTTCTTCGATTCACTGGGTAGGGTGCTGGAGAGTGCACTCTGGTACACACCAGGACACAGAGGTTGATGATTGATTTTGTAATCATATCATCAGATCTACGGCTATATGTCTTGGACATGCAGTTAAAGAGAGATGCTGAACTGTCAACTGTTGGATCTGGTGGTAGGGGAAGATGCTGGGCATACCTGGTGCATCCAAATGTATAATGAGCTGGCAGAGGCACCATCCCACGACATCTTCAATTCCCACCTCTGGCAGAGCTTCGATTACATTATTAAGGGTGCTCTGCAGATACTGATGCTGAGTGAACCATGTTCTGCATCTCCATTGCTGAGCCTGCTCCAGGGAGTTGTGGCTGCAGGGTAGTTCGTTCTTGGTGTGGGAATAATCTCAGAACCAGATGGTAAAGATCGGACTTGGTCTCCAGTTGCAGCTGACTGCTAAGCCAAGGAGAGTGAAGCTCAGGCAGTGGCTTTCGGCTCCTCTACAATTAGAGGAGTCAGGAGGGGGAAGCAGTGCTGTATTCACAAAGCATCCCACTACCATTGTGGTGGTTGAGGTCTCGCGCATTGCCTCTGGATTGGCAGACTGGGGTGATGGTTCCCTTGTTTAAAAAGGGTGAGGGAGTGATCCATTAGGGGATTACACTCCTCAGCCTCCCTGGGAAAATCTATGCTAGGGTACTGGAGAGGACAGTCTGTCCATTAGTTGAACTTTGGATTTAGGTGGAACAATGCAGTTTTCCTCCTGGTTGTGGGACAATAGACCATCACCTTGGGGATATTCAAGGGTGTGTGGAAGTTTGCCAAACCAGTGTACTTTTTTGCTTAACTTTTTACTTCATTTTGTGGGCAAGGCATTCAACCTCAACCCTCAAAGTATCATGTGGGGGATGCTTTGGGAGTATGGAGTGTCTGGCTGTTGGCCGCTCAGTCCCTGTACAACCATAGCACAGGCTTGGTTCAGTAAGTCGGACTAGTTTCTGAAGTATTATTCAGCTCACACAACTCCTCCCGATCTTTCAGCTGTGCCAGAGAATACCACAATTTACAGGAAGTGTTCACTAAAGATAAAGCCCTATCTCTCTCTTTGCACAGAACCTATGACTGCACCATCAATCTTCCCTTCAGTTGACTTTACAACCTGTCGCGGCATGGGAAGGAAGTGATGGAAAAATACATACTGGAATCCTTGGCCGCTTGAATCATCTGTCCGTCTTCCTCCCTCGTAGGTGCTGTTTATTAGTTTGTTATTAAGAAAGACAAATGCATGACTATCGTGGACTCAAATAACCTTCAAGAACAAATAACCACTGCCCCTAATCACTTCTGCTTTTAAGCACCTCCCGGGGGTCACTGATTTCACTGAACTTGATCTCCGTAACGTCTACCACTTAATACGCATCTGGAAGGGTGACGAGTGGAAGCCTTTGACACACATTGGGCACTTTATACCTGGTCATACCCTTTGGATTAACAAATGCATGCGCTGTCTTTCAAGCTCTGGTAAACGATGTGTTGAGAGACCTTTCTTCCTTCCACCTCAGAAGCTGGTACACCATTTCCTCTGCTTTTCATTTTATTGATGCTTCATCCGCAACTACAGTCAGGTAGCCACACCTCTCACACATCTCGCTTCACCTAAAGTGCCCTTTGTTTGTTACTCAGAAGCTGCAGCAGCCTTCACTTAATTAAAGAAACTGTTCACCTCAGCACCAGTCCTCATGCAACCAGATACCAAGCTCCAGTTCATCATTGAGGTAGATGTGTCTGACTCCAGGGTGGGGGCAGTTCTCTCGCAGTGGTCAGGCCTCCAAGGTAACCTGCAACCCCGTACCTTCTCCTTCTGGCAGCTGATCCCCACTGTACTCAATTATGATGTAGAGCATCACTGGAGGTGTGATGCCACTGGCTGGAGGAGGCCGAGCAGACTTTTGTTATCTGAACAAATCACAAGAACCTCAATTACCTTAAAAGTGCTAAAAGGTTAAATGCTCATCCAGCCCACTGGTCTCCATTTTTCCTGACATTTCAATTTTAATGTTCTATCACTCAGAGTCAAGGAATGTCAAAAAAGGACGCACTCTCTAACGACACCAGCCTGCTGGACCCATACTTCATGCTTCATGTACTGTTGGATCACTGAAATGGGATTTGGAGAAAATGAGCCATCAAGCTGTGCAGGATGAACATGATCCTTAGGTCCCCCTAACTACCGATATGATTCCATCACTGACCATTCTGTTGTGATCACTGGACTTACACTAGCCATCCATTTCTCTTTTCAAACGTTACTTCTGCTTGGTCACCATGGAGGTATGTCAAGGACTATGTAGTGGCATGAGCCATCTGTGCCAGAAATAAAAGCAGTACTCAGTGGGTGTCAGGTCTGCCTTAGCCTCTGTTGATAATGACCCACACCTTTTTTTTACACATTGGCTCATGTAATGAGACACATGACCTATAGTGGGTTAACAGCCCGGTGTGACAGTAACCTTATCTACCATTGACAGATTCTCTACAGCAGCTCACTTTCTAGTCCTTGAGAAATTACCCATGGCCTCAGACATAGCCAAACTACTTGCTGATCATGTTTTTAAGTTACACAGAATCCCAGTTCATCGCCCAAACTTTGCAATGCCCTCGGGACCAACACCAACAGACAAATGGACAAACTGAAAGGCTCAACCAGGAGATTGAGATCTCCCTCGGCTGCATCACTCCTCAAAA